GCACACTCAAAAATCTACACAACCCCACACACATACATACACACACACACACACATACACTCAAACACAGCAGACCGTCCTTAATCAAACAAGCCTCTGCCGCAGAGCAGTCATTACTCTGTGCTGCACATCTGTACTCCAGCGGCTGTGTTTAAATATAGATCAACTGCACACACACGGACTCTCTTTACCCAGTTTAACCCTAAAAACACACTGTATCATACCTAATGTACATCACACACACACACACACACACACACACACACACACACACACACACACACTCACTGGCCACTTTATTAGGTACACCTGACTAGTACCATGTTGGACCCCTTTTGTCTTCAGATCTGTCTTAATCCTTCATGGCGTAGATTCAACAAGCTACTGGAAATATTCCTCAGAGATTTTGCTCCATATTGTCATGATAGCATCACACAGTTGCTGCAGATTTGTCGGCTGCACATCCATGATGCCAATCTCCCGTTCCACCACATCCCAAAGCTGCTCTATTGGATTGAGTTACTGTTGCCTTTCTATCAGCTGGAACCAGTCTGGCCATCCTCCTCTGACCTTTGGCATCAACAAGGCATTTGCGCCCACAGAACTGCCGCTCACTGGATATTTCCTCTTTGTCGGAGCATTCTCTGTAAACCCTAGAGATGGTTGTGCGTGAAAATCCCAGTAGATCAGCAGTTTCTGAAATACCCAGAGCAGCCCGTCTGGCAGCAACAACCATGCCACGTTCAGAGTCACTTAAATCCCCATTCTGATGCTCGCTTTGACCTGCAGCAGATTGTCTTGACCATGTCTACATGCATTGAGTTGCTGATTAGTACTTAGCATAAAAAACAGTTAAACAGGTGTACCTAATAAAGTGGCCGGTTAGTGTATTTCAGAAAACTTAAGGTTATTAGTTACCATACATTTTTTATTCACTAATAGAAATGATCTGATATCTAATTAGTAACTAATAGGCTTTAAAACTGATATAAAACACACAACACGCCTTAAGAACTAATATTAAGTGAACTGTGTGTGTTTGATGATGGTATTGCTCATGCTGTTGTGTCCTCTGTCAGGCTTCAGAGGGTTACTGCATGCCAACGTCTCTGCAGAATCTGTGCGGATCGATGAGCTGCTGCTTTTAGACTCAGCCTGTAATCTAATCTGAC